GTGCATCAAATGAAAAGCTGTGAGGTCACCACGCACACTGAAGGCCGTGGCTGGGGTGTGGAATAGGATGAAACATTCTGAGCTAAAAAGGCGCTTTATTTTTTAAAGTAAAAGAATATTATATGAAGGTGGAGAAAGGGGAAAAAGAGCACAGACAGCTACTCTAAATAATCAGAGAGTATTCAAAAGGGAAAGATATTTTAAGCACTCTCTCTGGACATGTTTCCTCCATAAGCTGAATGTGAAAGTTGTAAATGTTCCATATACTCAAATCATCCTCCACCAATTCTGTTCAGTTAGTGGGAAGCTGCTGTCGACAAGGAAAAGGAATCTCCTAAGCTTGTGTAATCCTTACATAGTTTGTGTTTAGGAATACTCTCCATTACATTTTCCTATGATTTTGAAACTTTAAAGAAATTACTCTGTAATATAAATTTGACTGAAGAGTTTTTTCCTCTTGACCTTAACAAGGTTAAAAATATTCCCTTGTTAAAGACTCTGATGGATAATTAAGCCAGGGAATGAACTTGGAATACTTTTTTTGGTACATGTATGCTAAGTTTGAGTTCCATTATAATTCTGGAATTCAGAAAATAGAATCACAATCAGAACTGACCAATGAATGTTAAGACTGTGGTGTTCTTTCCAGGAAGAGAATAAATTAATATTTTTATCCACTTGAAAGCTCATGTTTGTGAGGCATTGGATTTTTGTATTTTATTGTCTTAGCTGCTATTTGCCATCTAAGCTATATATTTGAGCTTTCTGTTTGTTAGAATTTCTTGCATTTTTTTATTCAGGAGAAAAACTTGAGTTTTGCACACTAACTTAGCTTTACTTCTTAGTCATAATATGAAAAACATTGGAATCTCACATGGCAAATGTATAAATGCTGCATGAAACTTGGGAATCATGTTATAAACAAATCTTTTGCCAAGAACTTACTGCCGTGTTACAAATACAGAATTAATAAACTGTTCTAAGAGCACACATGTTATTTATCAAAGTTTTCTCCTACAACTGTCTGTATTTCTTTTTCTTTCCCATTGCTGAAGAATTTTGGAAACTGGAATTCAAAAAACCTATTTGCATGATCTATTCTTGGAGTTACTCCTGAGAATGTGTACTCTTGGCAGAGGTCAGTCACCTTCACCTAGTTTTCCCCAGAGTTAGTGAGCAGGTCTGTTTTGCATTTGTCTTTTCTTTTTTCATAGATCCAAGTAGCAAGCTCAACTGTGTTTATCTCACATCCCACACACTTCGGTTACTCAACTTTAGTAACACAAGCTCTTTGTTATGAAGATCAATATATCCCTAAGCTATACTTCTTATTTAGAAAAAAGGGGTGAAAAGGCTGTTGTACAGCTCAGTGGTAGAACACTTGTCTAGAATGCATTAGGCTCTGGGTTTGATCCCTAGAACTATAAAGAAAAAAAGAGATGAAAAGAGAAAAGTAAGTCTAATTGTTGAAGGTTTTACTGTTATTACAAAGTTGATAAAAGTTAAAGGGTTAGTTATATTTGCTGTTTTTCCTATGACAACAAACACTGATCCATAATTTTTTCTTTAGGTAAATTTGAATTTTTTTAAGATTTATTAAAAATGTATATTTAAGATGTTGCCCTAGTTTTGTGTTAAAGATACCTGAAGAAAAATACATACTACATTTAGAAAGCAAATATATGATTTGTGGTTTGAGCTCTTTCATCTTTTCTAAAGTGCTCTGTAGACATATAGGTTATGGTTTCAATCAATGAATAGTATTTTTGAAGATTTCATAACATAATAAAATACCTAAAGTAATACAAAATAAATATAAAAAGTCCATACTCCAACCCATAATAATAATGCAGGTCTTACAAGTTTTTGTGATGACACCATTTTCACATATTAAACAGGTATTTTTATATTTTTTATCCTTATTTAACTTTGGGACATCTTATAATACCAAAAATACTAATTTTACATATGGTAGTTTAATAAAGTTAACATTTTTCATAGCTTGATTGATAGTATGTTTATTTACTAAATTAATAGTTTCCTTATTTTTTTTATTTTTCCCCATAATTTTATTGATAAACAAATAGCAATGAGACAGTTGCAAATCAAATCGGTAGGAAGTTTCTTTATTTTTTTTTTTTATAAAATAAGCAAACAATGACAGGATTTATTTGTAAAAAGTAAAGAGTGAGGAAGAAACTGACTCTGCAGACTGAGCTTGTGCTGAGTAAAAGAGGAGAAGCAGGATTACAGTAGCCCTGGAGGGCGCAGGGTGGGTGGGCTGTGCTGCGGACTCCAGAGGAGTCTCCGTAGATGGTGCTGAGTCTTACTGTTGTAATATTAGAAGTAGTTGGTAGAGCAAGCAACTTCATTGGAATTTTAGTTATTTATTTTTTTAAAGAAACTCTACAGATACCCAATGAAGTTAATTTTAAATGATCCAGCACTTACATTATGTAAGTAATCTTATGCCAAATAAATGTATTGAACTTTGGGGGCTGGTGAGATAGCTCAGTGGTCTAAAATGCCTGCTTAGGCAAGTGCGCAGGGACCATGGTTTGATGATCCCTGTCACCACATGCTGCGCTAGCCCGGCCCCCAGGGTGGGCTGAGCTGGCCACAAATTAAATAAATAAATAAATAAATAAATAAAGTATTGAACTTTAGATAGTGTTAAAAATTAAAACAGGCCATTGTTTTGTACTGTGCTTCTGCACTGGGCCCCAGAGGACCATATGAAAAATCAGAATGGAGTCACCCATGCGCCTAACGGGTGGTGTCTGTGGGCCTTGAGTTGGAATCTGGGATTTGATATTTTCAGATCAATAAGGGGGAAACTAAACTGATCACCTGATTTGAGAAATCAGGATTGCAGAGATGGCAGCCAAATCTCCCTAACCAACCGGCTTAAGTCATCATGATCATAAAGTTCCTTCTTACATTAATCCTTACACTAAAAGATAGCTTAAAGTAACTTGACCTGAACCAATCAGTTCTTTTTCTGTCTTTGTGTCTCTACAAAAATAACTTTAAAATGATCATTTTACTTTGTATTCTTTTGTTTCTACTTTTTCAGCCTATTCCTGTCTATAAAGCTGACCTCTTATGCTCAGCCAGTTGTACTTACACTATCTTATGTAGTGAATTGCTGTTTGAATCTGGAATTGAGAATCAAACCAGTCAAACTAGTTTTTGTTGTTATTTGTTTTTGAGACAAGATCTTTTTATGTAGCCTAGGCTGGCCTGGAACTAGTGGTGGTCCTCCTGCCTCAGCGTCCTGAGTGCTGGAATTACATGTGACACCACCTAGGCCAAATTGGTGAAACCTGTCCTTCAACACTAGTCACTAAGCACGCTGCTGTTTGAGACAAAGGGGCTCTAGAGGAATTCTCAGTAAAGGCGTCATCTCCTTTTGAGTGCCAGATATATATTATTTAATTATATAATCCATAGTACAGTTTGTTCATGGTGTGTAATTTCTTTATTCTTTTATTTCATTTTAGTTTTTAAACAAAGTTTTTAAGTTGATTTTTAAACTTAGCTTTAGAAACAGCAACAACACTACACATTTTATTTTAGAAAAGCAATGGGGGCCAGCCAGATAGCTCCGTGGACTAATGCGCCTGCTTAGGCAAGTGCTAGGAGACCAGGTTCAATCCCCATGCCTTGCCAGCTGCGCCCTGGGGCATGCAGAGAAGGTGACTGAGACTGGACATGGTGGTGCGCACCTGTGGGCCTTGCGTTGGAATCTGCTATTGAGTATTTTCAGATCAGTAATCCCAGTGCTTGGGAGGCTGAAAACATGAGGATCACTGTGAGACTGATCTGTGCAGTGAGACCCTGTAGACCCTGTAGACCCTGGACTAAATCCATAAAAAAAATAAATAAATAAAGCATTGGCTTTATTTGGTTAAATTAGAGAAAATTTCTGAATATTTATGATTTTACCTGGTTATATATATAATACACACATATATAATAGATCAAAATGCTTGGGAAGGATATTTTTTATTTTTAAAGCAACTTTTTTAGTGCACGCATCCAGTACATAATTACATTCATAATGAGGAGTTGGTACATATACATAACACATCCGAGTTCTTCTTTTACCTCCTCTTTTCGTTTTCTCCTCAGTCCTTCCTGTTCCCCTTCTCATTTGAACATTTTCTTCCTCCTTTCCAATACTTTATACTTTGCTATTTCTTAATGCTTGATTCTTAATCATTACTTCTTTCCCATAGGAAATGAAATGACCCAAGCAACTGGTTATAAATTTAATGGTATTCTGTTTTACTGAAAGGAACATGGACCTTGGATCCTGACAAGCTAGAGTTAGAATCCAGAACACAGTAGTACTTCCCAGCTGTCTGACTTCATATAAGTAATAGAAATGCAAAGACTCAGTGTCCCCTTATAAAACACCATAAAATCTATCCTACATTAAATAACAAATGTAAATCTTTTGGTAAAACTTTTATTTTTTGGTACCAGGGATTAAACTCAGGACCTTACACTTGCCAGGCAGGCACATATGCCACTGAGCTAACTCCACAGTGGTAAAGATCTTATGTAAAAAATGAGCAGTTAGTGGTAGCTGCTTCTTTCTCCGAAGGTTATTGTAATTCCTTAAAGTACAAGACAGTATTTCTACTCCACCTTCACATTCCTTCTTACATGTTGAACTGGGGACCCTGTGTGACAGAGGGCGTGTTGGTACAGAGCAGCTGAGGGAGTGAGGAGTGTGCTGTGTGATCAGGCTACAAAGAGAAGCCCTCACAGGATTCAGCACATGACCTTGACCTCCTTATTGTTGTTCGTAATTTACTGAGATCCTTAACCTCAGCTTGTGAAGATTTACTGACACATTAATGTGTATACTTTCATACTTTTGCAGTGTAAATATGATATTAAATCACATGATGGAAAGCACACTTAAAATGTGGCTCCATTGACTTCAGAGAATCAGAAGATTAAATTTAGCAGTTTGAACTGCCAGACTAGGTCACCTTCTTTGACCCAGGATATAATGTAAGCCAAGCTTACTTTACACTGTGAAAAACATGAGCTAATTGTGCATATCAAAGCAAGTTCTTCAAGAAGAGAGAACTGCCGTACCTTTCCCCTATTTGAGAGGAGAGAGAAGGAAGGGCCAAGCTGAGAATCTCTGGAGACTGGTGTGCAAGTTTGCTTCTGGTGAAAAGTTAACGATCACTTGCCTCTGTTCTCACCTCTGAACCTTGAGAAAGTAGCAAACTTGAGTTTTCTCTCTATTCAGGTAACTTTAAAGTTATACAGACTTTACTCATGTTAACTATACTCTACAAACATGTGGTTTTCTTTCTCATTCTTTCAATATCATCTTATATCATGTTCTAAGCTTATTGAAAAAACAGATTTCTTGTTTGAAGTATGCCAGGTTAATGCTAATGAGGGTTTCTGTGTTTGAGTTAAAGAAAGAAAAATTTTAAATGTTTTTATGCAGTTAGCTTTTGTGGTTCTTAATCCTTTGGCTGAAAGATGTGCTAGTCATAGTTATTTAGAATGATATAGTACTTTATATAGTCTGCCAAATCTTGGCTAATAAGGAAAAATTTTTAAATTTTAACACTGAAATTTAAAAAAGGGTGAATTTTAATCACTAGATATTATGTGTACTTGACATTATAACTACTAAATTATAACTACTAACTACTACTAAGTAGCCCTATTTTATATTCCAAATTGTTACTTATAAATATCAATGTGCATTTTGCTGAAAAATAGTAAAAATAAATAGACTTTTTCTCACTATGCGGATTACATAATTCAGTCCCAAATAACTGGGACGGTACTACAGCAGCATAAGAACTCACTGTACAGCTGTACTTCAGGAGATACTACTTGCAGAATGTCAGTGTAATCAAAGACCCCGTCAGCTAAATTTCAGTCTTCAAAACTACTTTATAAAACTAAATGTGTTCTGTACATTTACAGAATAATCATGTTTTGCATTGAGTTGTCAACATACAAAGCATTGTTTTAGTCACTGAATTATAAATTCAGTGAATTGGTAGAGTTTTGATTCTTTCTAAACTGTCTGATCACTGCTTTCTTTATTCAACAAGTATCCAAAGCTAAGAATGCTTGCGTTGGTTGCGTTTAGACTCACAAAAGGACAAGTAAATATCAAAAGCTGTGTTTTATGATACTACACACAAAGTTTTCGTTTACATTTTTTCTAAAGTAAAATGTGAGGCAATATTGAGGACTGTACAATGGAAATTTGAGGCTGGTGGGAAACTAGAAAAATACCCTCTTTATATCTAGGGACTAGAGCCAGGGAGATGAATTAACAACAGTTGTTGTGTGCCCTGGGACTAGAATTCAAAGTGTGTTCACTAGGTGACAAGTTGAGCAAATAGTTTATTAGTCATTGTTCATGCTGTTTTTGAAGGAAAAATCATATTTTACTCCTTTATACATTTCAATTTTGAAGTACCACTAAATAAGCACTGCCAGTGGAGATTTAGTTATGTTGTAATATTTTCTAGATTTACCCTTGGCATTATTAAATTTTATATTAGTCTAATTTATATAATGTTATGCTTCTGGCTGGATTTGCCTGTGTACATTAAGTTCTATTTACAAAAAGAATTTTTAAGTCTTTAGTGGAGAGTATTACTAGTTCTTAATTTAATACATATTAGAGCTGTAGTGAAAATTTAGTAATTTTAACTACATTTAGTAATTTATAAATAAATTTAGTAATTTAAAAATGGCTAAAATTTCACTAATGAAAAAATTAAAATGAGAATAATATCAAAGTCAAAGTATGCAGATAGATCTTCATCAAAAGTTCTAAACAATTCATGTAGAATGTAAGGATAGAACAATTAGTTAACATGATTTATCTTCAACAAAAATTCTACCTAATCCTAATAAGAGTTAAAGGTAAATAATCGTTCGACATAATGATAAAAATTTTTTGTTTTACTCTTACAATTAACTGGTTTTTGAAAGTTGGATATGTGTTTATGATGTTTTCAGTAGTCCCCCAGTAGTCAGTGTTAATATTCAGAGCCTGTGTTGCATGTATTTAATAAATAAATCCTTATCTAATTCATGATGACCTTTGGATATTCACTTTTCTATTTCTTATTGAGAGTATGCATATCAATTTCCTGTCAGTAAATTCTCTTTGTGAAATGGTACTGAAATCGCTTTGCCTGTTGCCCACTCCTCCTGGTTTGTGTGTGTGCACACTCAAGTTTTAATGTTCATTAAACAAGAGAACAACAGCACCATGTGAAGGCTTCAGGTACTGGAAAACCTAAATTAACATCTGAGTAGCTTGATAACCTGCTTTGCAAGTTATGGATAATTACATGACCCCTATAAGAGCTCCTATTAAGTGAGCTCTAATTGGGGCTATTGCACTAATAAAGCTTTTTTCCTTTTTTTTTTTTTTTTTTTTTTTTGTATTTTAGGGAAGGGTCTACGGGATGTTCAGGGTCTCACTGCTAGATCGAACTCATAGTGATCCACCTGTTTACAGCTTCCCAAGAGCTGGGATTACAGGCATGCCCCACCACACCCAGTCTCAATTGCCCTCTCAGTGTGCCCCAGGGAATCAGATCCCGAGACCCCTGGCCCTTATGCCTGCTTGCAGGCGCTTTAATCTGCTGAGCTATTTGGCCGGCCCAATAAAGATTCTTTCACTAGAGTGTGAGACTCAAATGAATTTATGAAAGGCTTGACCTGGTAGATTATAAGTTCTTAGTGAACTCTTTCCAGATCCACCATAATAAAGTACCATAGTTTGAGTGTTTTAAACTACAGAAATTTATTCTCACTTAGTTTGGAGAATAGAAGTCTGAAATGAAAATGTCAGAGGGGCTATTCTTTTTGGAAGCTTCTGAGAGAGGATTCTTCTTTGCACTTTTGATGGACTCACGCTTTCCCTGCTTGTGGCAGCATGTCTCCCGCCTGTGTCTCCATTTCCTTATAACATTGTTTCTCTATTCTGCTGCTGTCTTCTTTTATAAAGACATCTATAATGCTAAAGTAGATGTTGCTGCCTACTCTGGCATCACCCATTACATCTGCCTTGCTATATGCTATTTTTTGGATCTGGAATGTTCTCAAAGTCCCATATGTTAAAAGATTGATCCCTAGCTTGGTGCTTTTTAGATGTGGTCGATACCTTTAAGGGGTGGGGCCAGGTGGGATGTTAGGGCCCTATAGGCCCTCAGAGGAGCTGTTGAGGCCCAGTCCCTTACTCTTCCCCTCTTGAGCGTCCCTTGGCATGAGGTGAGCAGTTGTGCACTGCTGATCACTAGCCCCATGAAGTGCTGCCATAGCTCAAAGTAATGAGCCCATCCTGTCACAGACATTCAGCTCTAAAACTCTAAGCCAAAGTAATACTACTCTCCTTATAGACGGATTATATCAGTCATGTGTCACAGTAATGGAAAGCTGACTTTCCAAGTATGGTCATATTCTGAGATATTGGAAGCCAAAGCTTTAGCAAACTTTTGAGGGACACAATTTGATCCATAACCCCCCCCTTTCAAGTTTTTCCCATGCAAGGTATACTAATCTGATCACAACATTGGCATGTGTCTAGTTCATTCCAATATGAACTTCAAATAAAAATTCTAAATGAGTTTTGAATGAGATTTGGAGTATTATCCCAGGATAAAATACTTTTCCATCTGTAGACCTGTCAATCTTTGGCAATAATTTGTCATTTACTTCCAAAATATAATGGTTAGGTAGAAGTACAGCGGCTATTCTTATTCTAAAAGGGAGAAATCAGAAGGGAATACAAGTTCACAAGCTTCAAGGGAAATTCCAGTAGGTTAAAAGGCCTGCAAATAATTATCTGAGGCTTGATGCTCTGCCTTTCAGGCCTGTTAGAGTGGTCCTGATCCTTTATACATGGGCAGCCTCTGTGCCCCACTCAGCCCCGGGTGTTGGCCCTGCTCTTTAGAACCAAGAAGGTGGCTTTACCCGTGCAAACTGAGGAAGTTCCTTCCCGAAAGCTCTGCATCTGTGATTCTCCCTTAGATCACTCTATTGGACTCATTCAGTATTTCTTTCAGTACAGGATGACTATGTATCTGCTGGGATAAAAGTTTTTAAAATGTCATTCTTTTGTGCAGTGAGATTGAAGCCATTAGATGGGAGAGTCCTCCATAGATCTTCTCTGTACACATGCATCTCCACTACCATTGCATGGTCTCATACTGTTATTGTATGTGTACTCTTCTATCTAATGCTTGAGGTTTTTGCAAGTTCCCAGATTTTATATATTTTATCATACTAAAGTAATTTTTATAAAAAGCCTCTTGCCTTAATGATGTTTGAAGTGATATCTATATCTATATCTTTAGTTTATTCATTCTATGTCTTCCATAGACTAACTTTATTTGACTATAATTAGAAAAAGTTCCAGGCCACATAACAACCGTGATGTTAGTAATTAAATTCTCTTGGCCCATGTCTCCTTTCACCTTTGAATTCTTAGCATGTAAGCATTTATTATCACTTGTAATTTGTTTGCAAATTCACCCACATTCTCTCCAGCCAGGAACTTGGATTCCAGTCCCACCTCTTGCACTCTGGAAGGAAAGATTAACATCTAGTGATATTTTCTTCCAGCCTTTATCTTATATATTCTTGTTTTACTTATTTTATTGACATATTAATTGTACATATTAATGTGGTTCAGTGTGAGACACACACAGCATGCAGTGATCTAGATCAATAGCTGTCTTCTGCCCCTCCTTCAGCCTTTTTAGCTTCCACGTATGAGAGAGAATATGTAGTAATCAAGTTTCTGTATTGGCTTCTCTCACTTAATGTCCTCTCATTTCATCCCTTCTTCTGCAAATAACAGGATTTTATTTATTTTTGTGGCAGAATAATATTCCATTGTGCTTATATATCACATTTGATTCATTAATTTATCTGTTTGTGGGCACCTAGGCCAATTCTACATCTTAGCTGTTGTAAAGAGTATCACAATAAACATAGAGATTTAAGCATCTCTTTTTTATCTTTTTCTTTGGTCAGATATCTAATTTAGTTTTCCTCTGTTCAGATTTTATTTTTATTACCCTAAGTTTACAAACAGCGGAGTTACATCCTGTAGACACACCTTGACCTCCTGGCTGACCTGACTAAAGCTGAAAAGCAATAACTAAGTCTGAAGTGGGTGGCAGTATTATGTAGGCCAAGACAATAAGGGCTGCTTTGAATTTTGTGAGTTGCAAAGTGACATTTTTATATAAA